CCTGTCTGCTGACAGTCATCAACTCTTCTCTCTAGTTATCCTTGACCAGATGTACCCTGTAGAAACTCATAAGCATGACTAAGCATTTAACAGTCTAACTAGACATCCTATCTCCACTAAACATTTCTAATACATAAAGTATCTATCCAATTTCTATCTGACTAAAAATACCTAACAAGGTGAACATCCAATGGGCCAAAGTCACAGTTAGAGATGCAAACAGCACAAATATATTTGTGGTGTATGCGATTAAGTGTAGTCAGGAGTGTAACGACTTGTACATTGGTGAAACTAAGCAGCTGCTTCACAAACGCATGGCCCAACACAGGAGGGTCAACTCCAGTGGACCAGAGTCAGCAGTCCACCTCCACCTGAAGGACAAAGGACATTCTTTTGAGGACAGTGAAGTCCAGATCCTCTCCAGAGAACATCGCTGGTTTGAGAGAGGAGTTAAGGAAGCTATTTTTGTAAAAATAGAACACCCCTCACTAAATAGGGGTGGTGGACTAAGACAACTTGTCATCCATCTACAATCCTGTTTTGAGATCTTTACCCAAACATGCCCACCAGGACAATAGGCGTCGGTTGACAGGGGAGGATTCAAAGACAGGTAACGACTCTCACCGATACTGGGCTACAACGACTCAGTCATTAGGGGACATTGTTGGCCTTCAAAGGACCGAAACACCACCGAGGGGTGATAAATATCTCTGACTCAACACCAGTCAGTCAGAACTGAAGAAGCCTCTTGGATGAGAGGTGAAACGTCTTCGACCTAGAAATCTAGTCCAGTTGAGTGTTTCTAAGGTTTTTTTCAGCTTCTCTCTACAACCAACAGTGATCTGTGAGGAGACACTCTGTCCACCATGTTAAATACAGAGCCAGTTCAACTTTTTATGCAGATCAGATTAATGTTGTGAATTAGCAGCTCCATTATTTGATGAAATAGTCAATCGATATCAATCAACAATCAGTATTTCACATCTTCTGCTGCTCATGTCATTTTCAGTTTGGAGCTGTTGCTTGTGAAAATGAATTTATGTTCATTTTGATTTCATTTAGCAGTTATCACTAAAATCAGTAGGTAGTATTTCTGGTTTCTTGCCCAACAACAGCTGATCACAGGTTAAATCTGAATCTGACCTGCATTTATTTATAACTTCAGTTAATGAGAATAGATGCAGGTTTTGAGAGGATTTGGATAAAGTGCCATTGAACCCCAACCTGAGGTTTCTTTTTATTCTTTCTTTATTTATCTATTTATTTATTTATGTGGGACAATGTACATTATTCAGCACTGACACCAATAACATTAGTGTACAGTGAGAAACAGAAGTATTTGAACACCCTGCGATTTTGCAAGTTCTCCCATTTACTAAGTGGGAGAACTTGCAGGGTGTTCAAATACTTCTGTTCCTCACTGTAAATGTGGCAGGATTAGCTCAGCAGCTAATTTACACCTATAGTCCCGAAATAATTAAAATAAAAACAATTACATGTGGTAGTACAGTCAAAAGACACTACATACAAGTTAATCCATCAAAAATCAGGTCATTAATGAGCACGTCTGACTGGATTTTAACCATATTTTAGGTTTAAAAGTGCTATACGATGTGCAGCTCCTTATGTCCATCGGTACAGTACGGAAAAGGCTGTCGCTACGTCTGAATGGAACAATACAGCGTCCTCTGGTAGCTGTTCCCATCGTTCTGGACACGTTCCACAAAGTGATTCAAAGGAGGAGTCTATGAAGAATTTTAAAAATAAGACACAAAACTTTTCCATAATAATTAGATGATATCTCTGGGCGATACAACAGTGGTGGTTATGATTTGGTTAGTTGTAAAGTATTTTAAGTGTTTGTTTATACAGTGAATTTATATAATTTCCAGTTTGGGTCCAACTTGAAAGACGGTAGTTCAGGTGTGAGAGGATCATTGCAGCCTGCAGTGATAGCTGAGGCCTAATAAGTCTAAATTTAGTTTTACTGACCCTCTTAACTTGTTTCCTAAAAGTCAGAGCTGGTTCTATATCAACTCCAAGCTTTTTAAAATGATGAACACATTTTTCTCCATTTACTGTTATATGAGTTTGGCCTGTGTTACAAACTGGAGGTGTGTGTTTTAAAAGACTTGGACATATTGGAGGCAGGAGGCACTAATGAAAGGTGATCTTCAGTTGCATTAAGGGACATGTAGGATGGATTAAGTGCACAGAATTGCTGGATCTGCCTGTTGACACACACACACACACACACAGTACTACACCACAGAAGAAGAGATCTCCTACAAGCACCCACATTCTTTCATTAGGCTTTTCTTGAGGACGGTTACAGTATGTGGGCTTGTTGCAATGATAACACATCAAAACCTGAAATGGTTTTTCAATTATTTTATCAAACATTTTTTCATTTAATGAGAAATGGAGCTAATCTAATTATCTGAAGTTCAGGAGTGGGACCTGACCTGAACTACGCCCCTTCGGTTCCCTTACTTTTCAAATCGTTTTGAAGCTCTAGTCACCCACTTCCTTGCTTTTCTTTACCCACGCGTTTGTCTGCCCGCCCCCTTTTTTTTCTTATTTTAAATTCCCTCTATCGCTGTGGGTGGCTGCTAGTGCCCAAGAGCGGCACCAACCTCCTTAATTTTCCCCCAAACCAAAGTGTATAACCCTATAGTACACTCAAGCAGTCACCGTTCTTCGTCACTACAAGCGAGGGGGCAGGTCCCAGCTCGTGAATTATTTTAAAAGTTATTTTAACAGTTTGTGTTGCATGAACTGGCTTTATTCAGATTTAGGGAACATTTAAATGAGTGTTTCTATTATTCTGAGCTTGGGCATGCAAAGGAACACAACGCTTTGAGGAGTTTGGCCGTTTAGAGGTGAGAGTACTGACCCATGGCCATTGATGTGACGCTGCTAAATTATTACATCCTGTGCTCTGTGCCGTAACAGTATGTTGAATGATAGTGGGTGATAACCACAGAGACATTTTTATTACAAAAATGTCATTCATCTCTGTGAAAATAGCCCCAGTCGTTCACTGTCATTTGAGGTAATGTGGTTTACACTCTGCTGAATGATGAACCAAGGGCGAGTGAATGCCGTTGGCTTCTCCATCAGCACAGAGCAGAAAAATGCTGATACAGAGAGAGATGGATGCTCTGAACAAAGATGGGACTGAGAGGAAATTCATGCCTACCCTGGTGTAATCAGGGTAATTAGTCTGTCCTTTTTCTTCTTTGTTTCACTGGGTATTTCTGACTTCTTCTTAGCTTCCCTTCCCTTTCCTTCATTCAATTTTCACTCTCCTTTCTTTTCTTCTTTGCCTGTCCTTCTTCCCACCGTCTTCTGTTTCCTCCCTTTTCCTTCCCTGTCCATTTCTGACACTCCGTTGTGTTACTCACCGCTGCCCCACCTCTCTCTGTGTGAGTGCGAATGTCCCTGTGACTCAGCGTGTGTCAGTGTGAGCCCCTCAGAAGAGGAACTGCTGATGAGCACTGCTATCATCAGATTGTTGTCTCCTCGTGTGTGTGTGTGTGTGTGTGTTTGGTCCAATGGAAGACAGACAGTGAATGAAAGGTGAAAGTACATGTGAAAGACCTGTCCTGAAAGTGATGGAGGGCGAAATAGGCAGGGACGTGGACTGACTGTAGGAGAGAGAGAGGAGTAAGGTGTGTGTTTTATCTGTACAGTCCATTTCTGTGTGTGGATATAGTGTAGATCAGGTGTCACGCTTCTTTGCTCTTAAAGTGGTGAAGGCATCAGTGGCCACTTACTGAAAGGCAGATACTGCATGCTCTTGCTGTCTGTTCCATTCTTTCTTTCTCTCACTCACACACTGTTTTGCGTATGTGTTGTGCTCTTGTTAGCAGGTAGATAAGGCCAAAAGAGGGATCTTGGTTGTTCAGCAGATAAAGAGAGGGCGACAGGACATCATTAGCCTGAAACATCATCATCACTTTCCATCCTTTCCACATCATTTTTCTTCTCATGCACCTGCATCTCTCTTCTCTTTCCTGCCATACATACCCACTTTATTTTCTTTTCCTTGTCCTTTTCTTCCCATCTACTTGTCCATCCATCCACCCATTATCTACACCGCTTATTCCTGAATAGAGTCGTGGGGGGCAGGAGCCAATCCCAGCTGACACTGGGTGAGAAGCAGGGTCCACCCTGGACATGTCACCAGTCTATCATGGGGCTGACACTTAGAGACAAACAACCACACACACAACCACACACACACACACACACTCACTCCTACAGGCAATTTAGAGTCACCATTCAACCTAAGCTGCACGTCTTTGGACTGTGGGAGGAAGCCGGAGAGAACCCACGCAGGGACAGGGAGAACGTGCAGACTCCAGACAGAAAGGCCCCAGGTCGGCCGAGGCTCAAACCCAGAACCTTCTTGCTGTGAGGTGACAGCGCTATCCACTGTGCTGCCCCCATCTCCTTGTTCATTTCCTATTTGAGTGGGTAGACCTATGTTGGCAAAACCTTCTCACACTTTACACACACACATTACTGAGCACAGGTCTACGCCGGACATGCAAATCCATGGCAGCACATTTTAACAATGTAGGACACCATTTTACTTCTATAAGATACACCGTAGGGACTAACAGAAATATCTTGGCCTATCGAATACCTGTAATTGTTGATAGATAATAAGGATTAATTCAGCCAACTTTATTAGAAGTAATTACAACAGGATTTGGCAGTTTTTCAAAGTGTATAGATGTGTGTTTGTGTTTTTGTATTGTAATGTGGTGGGTGGGTGAAAATCTTGTGTGAGAAAACTGGGGTCATATTGTTTTTGTGCTGATGGTGTTGTGCCTGATATCAATTGGAAGGAGTCTGTGTATGTGTCAGGTCAGAGAACGAGCCGTACATACCTGGTGAAGACTATGCAGTTGAAAATGTGTTGACACTGCAGCTTGGCCTGAATAAAAATAATTTTGTGGAGCATCAAATCAGTGTGTGGTCTGTAATCCTTTAACTTTATTTGAGTGGGATGCAATAATCTTCAAATTACAAGCCCAATTTCACAAAAGTGGGGACGCTGTTGTAAATAACAACTTGGTGAAATGTTTTGAAAAGCGCTTTTTTGGTTTAGATAAGCCTTTTCTGAATTTGATGCCAGCCACACATTCCAAAAATGTGGTGGAAACCTCACAACTACTTGGGTTAACGGTCAGCAGGTCAGCATCATGACTGGGCATAAAGAGGGAATGCCAGAGAGGGCCTTCTAGACGTAAGGTGGGGCTGAGGTTCACCGCTCTGCATGGCAAATAGTTCAATAATAATGGTGTTTCTTAGGGTAAAATTGCAAAGATTTGGTGCTTTTCTTCATCTATGGTGCAGAATATCATTAAAGTCGGGGTAAGATAGAAATAAATGTGTTATTCACACCACTAAGATGTGTTATTAACCACCCAGACAAGTTTGTGTATTTAAAAAGATCGCCAAGTATATAAAATTAGTTTTCAAAATCATGAAAAATAAGGAGTAATATCTGCTCTGAAATGCTGGGGCCATGTTGGGTGAAGACATCCAAGCGACGTCTTTTTCAGGGAAGGCCTTGATTATTTCAGCGAGACAATACAAACCACACTCTGCACATATTACAACAGCATAGCTCCGTAAGAGTCTGGGTGCTAAACTGGCCTGCCTGCAGTCCAGATCTGTCACTCACTGAAAACATTTGGTGCATTATGAGGTGAGAAACACGACAGAGGAGGCCCCAAACTGTTGAGCAGCCAAAATCCTGTATCGGACAGACATAGGAAAACATTTCTCTTTCAAAAATAAAGCAGTTGGTCTCCTCAGTTCCCAAACACCTGCAGAGTTGCTAACAGAGCTGAGGCAACAGTGGTAAACAAGCCCCTGTCCCAACTTTGTTGAAACGTGTTGCTGGCATCAGTTTTAAAGTCAGCAAATTTTATTCAAAAAACAATAACATTTCTCAGTTTGTTTGTACTATTTTCAGTTAAATATGAGTTTTAAGAGATTTCTAAATCATTTCCTTCAATTTTTATTTACAGAGTGTCAATGTTTTTGGAATTGGTGTTGTATAAGAGTAGTTTTCATAGGTGAGACTTAATTTAATGACATATCTTTATTAGTGATTCTTTATGCTTTTTAAGATTCATTTTAACTTAGATTTTTGATAAGAACTACATGGATACAGCGATTTGAGGTCAGCAATCCAGCAGGTGACAGAACAAATTCACCTCAAGGTCCACTTTTGATCATATCCAAGTCTTTCACAGGAGTCAAAGTTCTCCACTTGTCATAAAACATTCAGTGTTTGAGCTTCTGTTCCCTTGAGTGCTTGAAGGACGTCTGGGCAATGGTGATTTGAAAGGTTCAGCAAAATGGTCTCATGACAAGATCAGTTTAGATGGAGCTTTTGATCATGTCGCGCTATGTTACTGAGGAAGTTGTGTGATACGGTTGAAAGCTCTACAACGACTGTTAAGCAGATCTTATTGGCGGAGAGAGTGTTTGGCCAAATACATAAAATAGTAAAAAATGATCATACACCATGCACTTTGTGCAATATATA